TGCAAAGGGCTGGCACAAAACATTGTTGCAATTAATGTATCAATGCATTTATTATAATTAGCACATAAAACACAGATATCAGCTCCTACATTATAGACTTTAGACATAGCACAGATCTGTTATCTGGTAATTTACATATCCAATATTGGACTTATGGTGTAGATCAGGGGTGTCCAAAGTGCGGCCCGAGGGCCATTTGCGGCCATTTGCGAGGGATTTTTTACGGCCCGTGACTTCAAATGAAGAATCAGAAGATTTTATTGATTAAGATTGGCACGTTATCTTATTTTTATTTTTCATGTTAACAAGCGCTGAACAATATTCCTAAAACAGAAAATGTTCAGTAACATGTATGTTGTTGTTGTTTTTTTTAAATCTACAGATTTTACTATTTTCCACATTTTTTTGTAAACTATGAAAAAAAAACGTATGCAAAGTTTTTTGCAAACAAGCGGACTGTTGTTTAACCATTTAATGACCTGAGCTAAATGAACCACGTTACAGGCTCTGAGAAAAAAACAAATAAAGTAAAAGAAGAAATCAAAATATTTGATTTCCTTTTATTAAAGGGTTTCTTTAGATTCTGATCTACAAAGCCTTACTATTTTTTCAACTATATTTAAAAAAACCAAAAAAAAAAAACCTGTGGCCCGCGAGATTCTAACACGACAATTTTGGCCCACAAGAAAAAAAGTTTGGACACCGCTGGTGTAGAGCCACGTCACCGATCAAGGACAATCGTTGGGCAATCATGGTGAACTCGCACTATCCCGCTTTGAAGACATTCAGACTGAACTGCAAGTGCCAACAACTCGTCGTCATCAAGACGTTCAGACGAGATGGAACAGTTCCTTCTGTATGACGATTGATTGAAAGTACAATTCTAGCATTTCCTGAAAATATTTTTCAATAAACACCTTACAGGTTTTGCTTCTACCTGTTTGTATGTGAAGCCAACACAAAGTTCAAATAAACTGAATTGGATTGGATCTGAAAACTGCTTCTCTATATTTGATATATGATGAATGAGAATTACAGTTCTTCCTGGAATAAAAAATGTCAAGAAAAATGACACGAGAAAAAAAAAAAAATAGCACCCACCTCCTCCAGAGGCACTGGGGTTCAATGGTGGTCTCTGAGCGCCCTACTGAGGCCAGGAAGGCAAAAGGCCATGCCAGCAGCATCATGAATGCAGCTATGAGTAGACGGATGGGGAACAGTGTGACTGTCATAAAAGCAATCTACAAGAGAGTTAGAAAAAGAGAAAAGAACAGAGTTAAAAAAACATCAATTAAACATGTTTGTTGAAACTTTTTCTACATTATCCCTACATGAATGTACTTTAACAGTGAAGTCATAACACAGCAAAAAAACAAAGAAAGTCTACTCTTAACATGTCTGCTGTCAGGAAGTTTGAACATGGCAGAATTTTATTACACCTTGATCCAAAAATAATCGAGAAAGAAAAGATAGAAAGTACTTGAAATGTAACTTCAATCATGCATTAAAGCAAAAGAGACGTTTATGGTCTACTGAGCATCATAAGAAATGATTGCTAATTACAGTTGTAACCTGCAGCTTTGCTATACAAAACAGAAAAATGTCAACATAAAATTGCTCGGTGTTGTAGGTACTGTATATTGAAAGGAGATTGTGTTTCTGGCCCTTGGTGTATTCTTCCTGTAATAAAGGGACTGTAACTTTATTTTGTTTGTTTTAAAACATGTTCTTCATTGGTGCTGACAAAACCTGAACTTCAATGTTGACTGTTTACTTTACAGCTTTTCATGACTCTCTGAATGTGGCGCTTATCTTCTGTCAGTATTTGTATTGATAGTAACTAACCCAGGGGGAGCATGAGGTTGACCGCACTCTCTTATCGTACTCAGGGAGATTTCTAGCCTGACAGTTATGTCAATTTAAAGCTTGCTTGTTGACCAACAATAAGCAGATAATACAGACTAAATAACAGGAGTTGGAGAAAACACACACACACACCACACACACACACACAACTCCCAAAGGAAAAAAAAATTGCCCTCGAGAAGTAACACTGTTTACATCATGATGGCATAATCTATTATTGATGTGTTTTTTAAATTATACTGAAGCACTGAAATCTTACTTTCATACTTCCTCCTTTTACTTCCCCAGGATCCTCTCAACATACATTAATGAGTTGTAATCCAAGCACCAGAACCAGAGATCTCTTATACACACACAGGAAGAATACAATTTGGCACAAGAAGCAAAACAACTGACTAAGTAATAGGGCTTTTTTCCTATAGCAAAAGGTGACTTACATGGAATGTTTTAGAGCCACTGTATAATGCATTTGTTAAAAGATTTATTCAGACCCAAAGCATGAGAATGCATGAATGTCACTTAGAGTTAAAATAAAAGCAAAGCTACAAACGCAGAGAGGTTATTTAGGAGGTAGAGTGAACTGAGGCATTGTACTAAAAGGCTTTGAAATGCATGCAATAAGAATTAACAGTAAATAGGAGAACAAAGTAAGCATTAATTCAGACTGATGTGGCTAAAAATAACATTGTAGTGGGCAAAGAAGAGCCTATATTGTAACAAGGATGTGGAAGGTGTAGCCATTTCTATATTAACAAAATGTAAGTTAATGCAATATTTTATTATTACCTCCACGCATACAAAAAGGACCATGAAAGGCTTAAACTAGCCACTAATTTAACTTATCAATCCACAGCTCAAGAACAGGGGAACAGGCTGTGCATGGTTACAAGCATTTGTTAGAATGGTAACTTCACACTATCCTCTAAGCAGTTCAAAGTTACATGCTTTAACTCTGAATGCATTGTTAAACCATGGTTACTTGGTCAGCACTACCTTTTTGAAGCTGTTGGCCCATCATGTAGCTGATAGCAGTGTGTCATATTTTTTTCTTCCAACTGTTTAAACGGTTATGAAGGCCTTAATGTTCTTCCAGTGACAAAATACAGCCATGGTTACAAGATATGCTTTTCTATCTGGTGTCATTGACTCATCTTCACCTTACACTCAGTGAAACAGGAAGCTCTGCTAAACACAGTAGAACCCTTGCGATATAAATGTTTGAAATGAAACCTTTTAAAGGTCAATAAAAGGTACAAGCTTCCTTTACTCATTATGAAATATGAAGAGGTTTCCCTCGAACAAGTCTGAATACTTTTTTCAACTTTGTTTAAGGTCAGGGAGAAGTTGCAGAAGCATTATTTTCTGCGGGACGGCAGAGGATAGTTCATTAATTATTTTGAACTATATAAACAGACCTTTAGATTTCAGTGATAAGCAATGTGATAAATTGGCCAATGAAATGATACATTGAGTTATTTCACCTTTTCAACCCAAAACCTTAAATTCAGCAAACAGCGCCTTATCATTCTGTCTGGTGAATACAACTTTGCTCGTGAGAAACCTACATGTTGCCCTCTTCGGCAGCAATCAACAGAATTACTGATCTTTGTATCGTGGGAATGGGCTATTGACTTCCTGCCTCTTTGGGAGGATCTAAAAAGATTTAAGTCTTTGTTTGGTTTCCCAATTAATCACATATAGCATGCAAATTAGGCTTGTTAAAGTAAAAGTAAAGGAAGGAATCAAATTAGCTTTTGCCCTATAGCAGCCTGCTCTCTGACACCTCATCAACTTTTGGTTGATTAGGACAGAGAATATATCTGAAACAACAACAAAATGACAGTTAAATGGAATTATTACATCTGGTTTACCATCAAATCAGCTCAATTAATTAGCTTATCAAGGAGCAAGGAGGCAAGAGGGTCATTAAAAGGGTTGAAAGGTTGAGCTTATGAATTGTTAAAAAAAATTTTTTTTAAAGCCAACAGATGAGTATTTGAAAGGACACAAGTTGGGTGAGAAGTGAAAGATCTCCAGTTTCTTTAACTCTAAAAGTCTGTTACGCCGACCCTTTTCACTGTGAGCAAAATGATCGTGATCAATAAACAGAAACATGTTTATTAAATTGATCTACACATTATACTCTTTTGGGTCTTTATCCTACCCTTAAAAGGAAAGTGTTTGGTCATTCACAGAGATTACTCTTAAAGATTGCACAAATTTCAAAATTCTCATTTGGTAATAAAACAAAACATGACCTGATACCATAAAAAAGAGCTGTATAGAAGGTTTGTATAATGTAGACAAAATAATGTACAGAAAAATAATAAATCCATATTTGTCCAGACACTACAACAACATACACCATAAACTACAATGCATTGGTTGAATTATGATAACTGTAGAGCAGATCATGCATTTATTCTGACCCAGTTCAAACATTTCAGTTGCAGACCGTCACTTAACTGTGATAATTTTGTTAGTAAAAGATATGGGTGCATACGATGACTTTTCTCTTTGAACTCAAACAGTTTCTGTGGATTCATCTGTCAGTCTACTGTATTATCACCTTTTTCTGTCTCAAAAAATGTCACTTAACTTTTTATCTAGCTGCTTTAGATGCAAAAGCAAGATCTGTGCAACATGCTGAAAACACTTTTTCTCAGTTACATCAGAAACCCTAGGAAACTCAATTCCACCACTTCATGGTGACCCACTTTTGCTTCAGCACTTCATGTTTATGAGAAACCTGTTTTTAAGTGCCCAGCCACTCTGACTTCTATTATGTAAAGTTATGTATGTGAGCAGAAAGAGTGATATTTTGTCTTTTTTTTTTGGGTGACATTTCTTAACAAATGTTAATTTGCACATGTAATCACAACGTGCTGAGGTAACAAGTTTCCTATGAGGTACATTAGACTTGTTCTAAATGAATATGATAAACCGTAGTGCTTGTGAATAACTTTCTTGACTTCATTATGTTAGCATTACAAGAGTAACCCGAAATTCTGCCTTTCCCCTTAGCTTTGATCCACCTAACATCCCACCCTTTTTTCCTTTCAGTCTCTTCTACAAGAGCCAGACGGCAAAAAACATGTTTGAACCTCCCTAGGTCACCTTTCTAGCTTGTAACAAGATACGCTTATATGCTTGCTATGCCAGGGGCCATTCACAAAACCGTGGCTCTCCCATCACACTGAACAGTTTCACAGCTAAGACCCAGTTCCACATTGTTTACAAATACTTAACAATGTACCCAGTGTGCTCATCTAATAATTGTGAGGGTTTATATAAATGAAATACATGTGCATAACATCTAATTAACGATATAATACAAGATGAACACTGCTTGGTATCTATCAAACTGCAAGTTAGAATACTTGCTTCTGTTTTTACATTTCAAAGCTTTGCAAAAGGTGTGCCAAGTTATTTTCTCATGACATAACATGTCTTTCTCTCTATCTTTAATCTACGGGTGGAATGAGTCTATCAACAATACTTAAAGACTGGCTGTAAAACCCAATTACTGTACAAATATACATTTTACTGTAGAGGATCAACTTTAATGCTTACCCAAGGGTAAGTGTGGATACACACAGACATAAACACGTGGACACTTACCTAACTAAGCTATTCAAAGAGAGATCATACGAGGTGAACGACAAAGAGCCGACATGTGCCTCCAAATTTATCAGCCCCAGTTTGAAATAACTAGATCAATGTAATACTGTGGTGAGTGGCGGTTTCCTTCATCTGTGCCTAACGCCACATGTTGCAATAAGAGACAACTTTAGCTGTCTGCTTTGTAACACCAATCAGATAAAGGAGGATTTATAGCCATTTTTGTAATGGCTATGCATCTGCATCCAAATTATACTTTTTTTTTTAGCTTGGAGTTGAGTTGTATGTAATGTAAAACCCTTTGCAGCGAAGTCTAAAAGCTGCAATCTGATTTTCAATTACAATTAAGGATGGCTGGGCTGCATAAATCTGACCTATGCTGCAAAACTATTTTGCCAAACTATTTTTGTTTTTCTTCAATTGATATACCGATACAGATCTTGGCAGACCCAGGATTTGATTTGGGGTAAACAGGACACGACTGACAGGTTTTTTATGCTGTTTCAAAGCCTCCACATCCACACGTGTTGGTTGCTGGGACGCACCGTGATTTACTAACAACGCTTGTGTGGCTACAGGAGTTACCTTTTTTTTTTTTTTTTAAATAAAGATACTTAATTATTTCTGCAATAAGAAGGAAAACCTGTAAAAGCTACCAAGCAAGCAGCATGCAGCAATGTAATGTGACAACAGTTAAAGAGCAACAAGCTAGGCCCATCATGGACAGGCGGTCAGGCTCAAACCATTTAGTGGTTTGTTAGCAGATACCTGGATGAGAAAACATATGTTTGTTTGTATGTACTCATATGTGAAATAAATGCCGTTTTTACAGCTGAAGAAAACCCTATAACAAAGAGACTTTGTCATTTAAGCGGCATTAAGGCACATAAGGGAGCCAATAAGAGAGAAGGGGAAAGCAACATGTATGTAGCCACAGTTAGCTGACTGGCTAACACTAGCTCAGCTGACAACATGAAATAAAAATCTGTAAAAGTTAAATGAGGATGACAGCATCTCCACTGTCGCACTGAGGTGTAAATGTCCTACAAAAACACACCTCGCTGCTCGTTAGTGTATCTGCACAAGATTAGGACATTTGCACAGTGAATGTATTTACCTTTGCTTTCTCCAGAGGGGTAAATTTCAAGAGGTGCACAAAAGGGTTTCTGAACGGAGGAGCTTGGTCCATCTTCTTTCCATCTCCTTCCACCGCACATTGTCTGTGACTCGGCAACCTCATTCTTCACAGGAGCAACGTTGGTCGAGGTTGAAGATTAATTCTGAATATTCAAAATAGAAAACGAAATTCTGCTTGAAAAGGAGACTAGTCACGCAAAACACAGTTTCCCCCCTATCTTCACTGCACGGTGGCTAATTGAGGTGGCAGTGGCGGGGTTATTATCGTTATCTTTCTTTCCCGGACAGCATGGAGGGATAATGGTTAGCTCAAGGATTAGCTGGGAGTATTTGAAGTCGCCGATATATTTCTGCCTACAGTGCGCAGGTCGCCTCCCTCTACACGGTGTTCCCTAACCAGTCCGCTAGCTCAGGATGCTAACAGAGCCACGATTCAGCTTCTGTCAGAGCGCATGCGCAAGATACATCATTTGTATCCATCCTACTGCTGTGAATACATGATGTGATGCTGCTGCCTTTAACACTCTCCAAGATATCGCCTTTTCAAACTTCGCAATACTCTCCAGATGGCTGAACATGTCCTTATTTTCGCGTTTCCCCAGAGTTTATCGGGGTATTTAAATAGACACAGCATGGGGAAATGTTTAAATTAATAAGAGAGAAAAAAAAAGCTATTTATGTTGCCACTGGTTGATCATAGAAGACCAAAGGCTTCCGTAAATATACATTGAAAATGTTTTTATTATCTATTCGGGGATTTTTTTATCTATTCGGGGATTTCTATCTATTTCTATCTATTCGGGTATTTTTCTATATAGAAGATCTATCTATCTATCTACCTGTATCAAGAACACTGGTTGCTTAGGCTTTTAATGCTTCTGGGAATGTGTTACCATCTGCTATTAAGTAGCTAGACTACAAATTAAAGGTTACATCTATTAGCAGACCACAATGATGGTCTCATGCAGCAGAAGAGTGGGTCTTGTAAAAGCTGGTGTTTATTATTGGACAGCAATGAACTGTAGGCTGTTTGTTCTACAAAAGCTTTATTTACACTCTGTGTGTGTGTGTGTGTGTGTGTGTGTGTGTGTGTGTGTGTGTGTGTGTGTGTGTGTGTGTGTGTGTGTGTGTGTGTGTGTAACTGACTGGGTGTAATGCTAAGTGCAGTTATTGGTTCTGTGCAATTTCTCAGAACCACTTGTATATATGTATATCCAATATATTATATTGTTTAAAGCTTTATGTTATCATTGTATGATTGTGCCAAACCATTCAATTCGTATACTAATATGTATACTTATATGATGCAGTGTTATGGGTTGTTTTATTTAAATGGAACTTCATAACTGGTTAAATGCTTCCCCCTAGTGTTGGAAACATCACAGTACATTCAGGCCTGTGACTCCTTACACCCTGTCCATCATACATCTACATACCCACAACATGAACCCACATACACACAAATGCACAATTTTAAGACTTATGGACCAAACCATCTCCTCCTCCAATACATACAGAGTCATCATAGAGTCATTCTCTAGATGCTACTAATAGATGTAACCTTTTCTTTTGTTCTAAGCATATAGAATAAGATTAACTCAAAAGATTAAATATTAATTTCAAAGCATAGTTGGGGGAAAAAGTGCACTGCCTTTTCATGGGGTATGAGTAAATACAAATAAGAACACACATTAATAAAAGAACAGATTAACGTATAAGTATAGTATCCTACAGATCATTCGCAAACAAAATCGGCATTTAACTATCACTTGTCGGCTATAGAATGTTTAGACTAAAAAGAGATTTAATTGCTGTCACAAGTTTAAATGTTTAACTTTTACTACACACATACTGTGGACATGTCACTAACATGTCTACAATCTATGTGCATAAACAAGTAAGAGCTGTACGTTATCCATCCAGACCAGTTTTATGGGCATAAAAAGAAGAGAGAAATTACGTGAGTTATATGTTAAACATATTTATTTGCCAATGCAACTAGTCTGTGATGACTATCGGTACTTCATCATAAACATGTGGCAGACTGGCGAGTTTTTCTCTGTATGTCTTCATTATGTGATCAGGTTGTTGTTGCAACTATGTCTTTACATACTATAAATAATGTTACAATCACCTCAATAAGGTATATTCATCATCATCTCTCTATTGACTTTCATACAACTGTCTCACTGAGTTACCACCTAAGCAATGGCGAATATGCACTAAAACTGGTCACTGGATTCAACGTTAGATGGTATTCATTCGTTGTCACTTTCCCACTGGGACACGCTAGACGGCATGTAACCTGTGCCCAGTGATGTCACTTTTTCTGGTAGTAAAGGCCTGGAGAGTAGTGAGGTACTGTATGCTTTGCTACTTTTGTCATTATTTTGTACAAAATGTTAATGACCAACATAACCGTCAAATCTGTTACTTTAATACGGAAGGGAATCTTTCGCCCAATTTGTTAAAAAATTTGAATACAATGAAAATGCATCAGATGTTTTTACACACAGGGCATTTAAAATGAATTATTAACTAATACAATTGTATGTTTTATCAAAGACTTGTTGTCATATAGCATTCTGCCTTTCACTGCACATCATTTTTCTTTTTTATGACAACCCATTTTATTTCCCTTTTAAAAAAAAAAATTAACCTGATTGCTCAATTTGAATCAAAGTCTAGCTTTTGTATCCAACTCCAAAAAACAACCAAATCGATATTAAGGTAACAGATAGAAAAAAGTTGCTTTTCACCTCAGATCAGTGCTTGCTTTGGTCTTTTTTTGTACAATGAATTGTGCATGAACTCTTTTGAGATTTCTTGAGTTTCTCATTTCCTGACCTATTGATTGCACTGCACATTCATACACTGTAGGTACTAAAGCATGCAGTGAAAATGAAGGTGTTACATTTGGAAACCTGTACTTTATTTATCGCACTTGATTTATTTTTGTCTTCCCCAGTGATCCTTTTTTTGCTTATACTTTTTTGTAATTGCAAATATGTCAAGATCAGCCAGTCAGACACACACGTGCATGTGTTTTTTACAGGCGCATACACACAAAAACACAAGTACACACACCTTACAACTACATATTTAATTTGGATGTAGAACATGTAGTCAAAGTGCCCTGTGGGCTGACCATATCAGGTCGTGACATTTGCATTTGACAGGAATCACATCAGACAGGGTTAATACCAGTAAGGATGGAGGGATAGAAAGAGGGAGAAATAGTAGAAAAGGTTTTATTCATTCATTCTACCTCCCCTTTCCTCTTGCTTTCCCCCCTCCAATCCCATAGCCAAGGTGCTTAAATTAAAAAGGAAGAAATGCAATTTAAAGACATGGGGGTAAACAATCACAAAACACTTGTTTCTGGAGGAGACACAATTTCCTGGTGCCTTGTCCAATTTCATATGGCCTGGAGCGCTGCCGCATGCGTTTAAACACCTGGTTCTACACCGCTGATTAAAATTGTAATGCCAGAGTTGAATCAATCCATATGACATTTTGGAAATACACAAGTATCAGGACATTTTATATATACAGCATTTTTTCTGTTGTTTTCATTTGGAAACTGAAAGTTGCAAGGTGGCACTGGGTGTCACTACTATGCCTTCCAACTGTTTGGAGGGGAGAAGGGAAGTTTCAATATCCTAAACAAGTATGAATATGTCACTAGCGTTGCTCAATATTGGATATACTCAAAAGGTCCATTATATGAATTTCATTCATGTTGTAACAATATCAGTGTGGTGAAAATCATTAGCTCTTTTCACACATACACTCTTGAATATGGAGCTTAAAACGATAACATTTTGCCCGTATAACATTGCAAGTGGAAAAGACCATGTTGTTCAAGCAGAAAAAGTATAGCTAAATTTCGAACTCCACAATCACGGACCAAAACCGTATTTTTGTGTGCATGTGTATTTAGTGCTTTTCAGCTCTCAAATTACAGAGCGTATAAAGGGCTCATTTAGACTAGGGCCAAATTAATCCGTACTGTGCCCAAACATATTTGACCCTCAAAGTCTTGTTTGTTTGACTAGTGCTCCGTACGATACACTTCTTTTGCCCTGACATGGTCTGAGGAGCTGGGCTTTGGCACGGTAAGGTTGCTCATGCACAAGCACGGACACGCAACATGGAAGTTATGTACAGCCTTATCGATGGGACCATTCATCACAGCAATCATTTTAATCTTCCTAAGGTATTCAGGTCAAGTTGACCCATTTTAAAATTTCAACATCAAGGAAAAGTATGTTAAAATTATTTTTATCTTGGCTTATTTACTGTACTAAACATGTGATATGAAAATGGTACATTTCATGCATTTGCTACTTTTTCAGTTTGTTTTAGTTTTTTCCTATGTTCAGAACAAGCAGTTGGAATATGTATGTTTTCTTAAATGAATAAATAAATACATCAATAACTAAATGAGCTCTTTATTAATGGTATATGGATGGTAGCCAAAAAACTTGATTAATCATGAGGCACCTAAAAATCAATTCAAAGTAGTCAAAGTTCACATCGGTACTTTAAAAAAAGAATCGCAATAATATCGTGAGTGTCAGCAGCTGTAGAGCAAGATTTTGAAATTGAGGACGCACCACCATCATTTTGGCTTCCCCAAGACAGAACATGATGTGAGAAGATAACAGACAAAGACAAAAGACAAGAGAAGACAAAAACTGTGTGCAAATATTGCAAGAAGACAAGGAACCAGTACTTAATTTGTAAACCTTGAGGTCAAGGAGCACAGAGAAAGTGCTGTTCTGGCCGGGCAGGAGGAGACAAAAAAGTCTCGGCATATGAGTGGAATATGGAGTTCTAGTTCAATCATGTGTTGTGTCAGGCTGGTCTGGTATTCTCATGTGCCGCATCATATGCCGGTCTTGTCCACTCGTGTCGTGGCATATGCCGCATATGAGTGGCATATGCTGCAGCATATGAGTGGCATATGCCGTTCTGGTCCAATCATGTGCCACGGCATATACCCATATTTGTGACATATGCTGCAGCACATGAGTGGCACATGCCACCCATGTGCCAGTCTATGAGTGGCATATGTCAGTCTGGTCCAATCATGTGCCACGGCATATGCCGCATATTAGTGGCTTAGGCCGTGGCATATGAGTGGCATATGCGGTTCTGGTCCAATCATGTGCCACAGCATATACCCATATTTGTGGCATATGCTGCAGCACGAGTGGTACATGCCACCCATGTGCCAGTCTATGAGTGGCATATGCCAGTCTGGTCCAATCATGTGCCACGGCATATGCCGCATATTAGTGGCTTAGGCCGCGGCATATGAGTGGCATATGCCATTCTGGTTCAAACATGTGTTGTGTCAGGCTTTTCTGGTATTCTCATGTGCCGCGGCATATGCTGGTCTGGTCCACTCGCGCCGAGG